TTCTGCAAACTTCCTTGTGCTACGTTCACATTCAAGTTACCATGTATGTAGGCTTTTAATACAGACATTGCTCCTGGGTGAGACTCATTTGATGCTTCTAGAGTCCAGAGAACTCTCCTTTTGTATGCTTATAACTATTTGTCTTTCAAAAACTTTCTAAAGGAAAAGTTTCTGATACTAGTACCAAAGTCTGAAAATCACTTGAATTTTTTTTTACAATATATCTGTTAAATAATTCAGCCTATTGTTGTCCCCCCAGTTTTCTGACAACCCAAACTGTCTGCATGATATTCACCAAATAATTGCCGAAAATATTTAACAAGACTGCACTAAGTTTACCAATGAGACTTAATGAACATGAATTTTTTTAAAGAGTACATGTAAAACACTGTCCGTAGATAAATACTGGTTATCATTAATACCATAATTATTATTTAATTTTTTCCATTGTTAATATCAATCTAAAATGTGAGTTTTTATGAGTTTTCCAATAAATTCATATAACTGAATTTCCATCCAGTTCACACTTCTTTATCTCGTTCATAAGGATACCATTTAAAATACTGTCAAATGTTTTGCTGAAATAGACGTGGCATTTTCCTGATATGTCAGTTTAAGAATCACAGTAAAATAAGAACATGTATTGGAGGTGTATGAATTGTTCAAAGTAAATCTATGCTAAATCCTTGAGACTACTCTTTTCATTTATAAATACTCATTATTTGTTAACTTTCTATCTGAGAATTTTCCTAAACAATACACATCTATTTTATTAGTTTGCAGTTTCCAGCTTCAATCATTTTCTCTTTCTCGATAACTTTGAGTTTTATCCTTCTTGTCTCATCTTTGATATAGTTTCTCAAAGATCATGGTTGTTTAGTCCTGTCCGAAAGCTGCCTGTTTACTAACAAGATGAGAACAAAGTCCTTTAATCTGCACCTACGCACTAGGACTCCTGCAAAGTGCTGAGGTCTTTTCCTACCATTTCCACAGCCAATGGGCTGTAATTCCTTTGTGCTGTGAGGGTCTTTGAATAAAAATATACAAGTAAATGAAGAGTTAGAAATTGTCCTCCATCTTGGATAAAGTGTAAGTAGAGGTTAAGCAAATGCTGAATGCCCTGAACAGTGCCCGTGCCACACAGAATGAGACCAGCGAAACATGTTTCTCCCTGAGCATCAGTACGATGACTTCATCATCCTCAGAACAGCCTACGTGGGAGAAAGTGTTCCTTAAGTTCTGATCTGCGGTCCTTCCCAGAATACCTTGGTTCACAAAAGTGTGATTCTTTCATTTCATCTAAAATTTCACTTGTTCCTTAAAGAGGCAGAGGCAGAAACAATTTCTGGATGTTTTTCCTATATATATGTGGAACAATCATTTTCAGGAAAGACATTCCACTGTCTAAACCTCAATTCCTGATACTAGAGATTTAAGTTTATGGCTTTGTGTTCTTTCTTCAGTGAGTTGGAGGACATCTCACAAAAACTGACATTCACTCTTACGTGATGAATATGCTTCCTATAAATAAAGAGTAACTACAGGTTATCTACTGAATGGTAAGTCTAACACCAACACTCTATGCCTTGGACTCAATTGTGCTGCTTCCGAATTCATATGCTGAAGCTCTAAGCACCAAAGTGACTGTATTTGGAGATTGAGTTTTAAGGAGATAATTAAGGTTAAAGGAGTTCCTAAGGGTAGGGCCCTGATCTGATATTGATATTCTTATAAAAAGAGACATTAGGCCAGGTGTGGTGGCTCACACCTGTAATCCCAGCACTTTGGGAGCCTGAGGCAGGTGGATCACGTGAGGTCAGGAGTTCAAGACCAGCCTGGCCAAAATAGCGAAATCCCTTCTCTACTAAAAATACAAAAATTAGCTGGGCATCATGGCAGGTGCCTGTAATCCCAGGAGGCAGAGGCAGGAGAATTGCTTGAACTTGGGAAGGGGAGGTTGCAGTGAGAGGAGATCACGCCATTGCACTCCAGCCTGGGTGACAGAGCAAGACCCCATTTCAAAAAAGAAAAAAGACACCAGAGAGCTAATAACTTCTCTCCTCTTCCTCCCCTTGCTGCTTGTCCTCCCCCCTCCTCCCTCCCCTGCCCCTACCATTTATGAAGACACAGCAGGAAGGCCACCAGCTGCAATCTAGGAAGAGAGGCCCCCACCAGAAACTCATCCTGCTGGGCCTTGATCCAGGACTTCAGGCCTCCAGAACCATAAGAAAATTAATTTCTCGGCCGGACGCGGTGGCTCACGCCTGTAATCCCAGCACTCTGGGAGGCCCAGGTGGGCGGATCACGAGGTCAAGAGATCAAGACCATCCTGGCCAACATGGTGAAACCCCATCTCTACTAAAAATACAAAAATTAGCTGGGCGTGGTGACATGCACCTGTAATCCCAGCTACTAGGGAGGCTGAGGCAGGAGAATTGCTTGAACCCGGGAGGCAGAGGTTGCAGTGAGTCAAGATCACGCCACTGCACTCCAGTCTGGTGCCTGGCAACTGAGTGAGACTCTGTCTCAAAACAAAAAAAAAAAAAAAAAAAAAGAAAAAGAAAATTTCTACTGTTTAAACTACCAGGTCTGTGGCATTTTATTATGGAAACTTGAGCAGCTGTATATGCTGTTAAATGAGTACAGCCATTGGATCAGACAATGCTGTAGTTAAATGTTAAACCTAACCAAAGTTAGGTTCTTAGTTGCTGGTTGACCTTGGACAACTGATTATCTTCTTATCATCTTTCTTCATACGTAAAACAGGTCTCACTTTATGGGGCCTGTCTCACAGGATTACTTTTTAGATTAAAAGAACAATGTGTGAAACCAGTTGTTTTCATACTTTGCTGTAGATTGGAATCACCTGAGAATCTTCTAGAACATGCTGATGCCTGGCTCCCAGACACTGAGGATTAATCAGTATAGGACATTGAGTTTTAAAATCTTCCCAGGTGATTGAAATGTGCAACGAAGTTTGGAAACCAAGGCATTAAAATATTAGATAAAAAAGAGGCATCTGTTAAATAGTGGCTTTTCCCCCTTTGCTTTTCCTTCCCTGATAATACACGAGCAATGTGCTTTATTTTTTATATCTGACTTGAACAAGATGCGTCACTTTGGTAAGAACTGACGGCTTGAACAAGATAAAGCTCTTGCTGTCATGGGGCTGATATTCTCATGGAGCGTCTTTTCATATAAATATTGCTTCTATAGTCATCTCCTACGTTTAGACTATCCACGTTCCTGAAGATCTGCAGTCTTTGCTAATTTCTCAAATCGGGATGCACACCTGTCTTCACGCTCCCTCTTCTCTTCTCCCCCACCACCCCTAGCCTCCAGTAAACACACCTCTGGCTAGCACCTATTTCCAGCTTCCAAGCCCCTCAGATCCAGGATAGCTGCTGTGAGAAGTAAGTGGATGCACCTCCCAGCTGGTCTGTCACTTGGTGGAGAGGCTGCACCTGCCTTCTGCCCCTTGAGGTTATTATCTCGCAGCTGGGTACTCTCAAGGGACACTGCCTCCTTAACTCCTACATTTCAACATGAAATTATTCAATTGCCTAAATTCTCATTCTTTGGAGGCGACTCATCACGAGGACTTGAAAACTAATCAAGAACTACGTATTTGTTTTAGTGCTGGGAATTGCAAAATGCCCAGTGCCTTTTACTCCCTAGTTCTGATTGTCATTGACTTGCAACATCTCATGAATCAATTTCTGGGGCAAATCTACCGAGTGGCTTCTTCTCCCAACGCCTTATTGTTTTCTGGGAGGTCTGTTTGGCATTGTCTTAAATTGAATTCAAGTTATGAATGTGGAATTCTAAAATCACAGCCATAAGGCACATGGATGGTGCCAGAGAAGATGAATGCTGACATCCCACTGGGGTTGAGCTCCAAGACTATGCCGTAGAAGAGTTTCCAATAGAAATGAGAGAAAAGGGCCAGGTGCAGTGGCTCATGCCTATAATCCCAGAACTTTGGGAGGCAGAGATGGGTGGATCACATGGTCAGGAGTTTGAGACCAGCCTGGCCAATATGGGGAAAACCCATCTCTGCTAAAAAAAAAAAAAAAAAAAAATACAAAAATTAGCCAGGTGTGGTGGTGCATGCCTCCAAGTCAAGCTACTTGGGAGGCTGAGGCGAGAGAATCATGTGAACCCAGGAGGCAGAGGTTGCAGTGAGCCAAGATCGTGCCACTTCACTCCAGCCTGAGAGACAGAGCAAGACTCCATCTCAAATAAAAAAAAAAAGAAAAAAAAGAGAAAAAAATGAGAGAAGAGGTGATAAAGCAAAACTACCTACAAACTTTTAAAAAATTATATACACATCCTCTCCTCTGGTTCTACTATACCCCAATTGGCTGAAGGGAGATACTCAATGTGTTTATTTGGGGAAAAAATCTTCATCAACCACTGCATCAGCAACTTTGTTATTACCATGCCCTTAAGAATTACTTATTTAGTGGTCAAATACACTTGGCTCTAAAGCTGTTCTTTCCAACCTCCGCTTGAGTGTTAAGAGTCATTCCCAAGGCTTTTACAAAATACAGATTCCCAGTCCCACCCCAAATTGCTAACTCAGAGTCTTTTAAAGTATAGTCTATCCTCTGTATTCGTGGGTTCTACATGCACAGATTTAGCCAACTTTGAATTTAAAAAAATTGAAAGCAAAGAAATTCACAATAAAACAAAAAAAATAGAAAAATTTAAAAGTATAATAACAATAGCATTTACATAGTATTGGTTATTATAAGTAATGTGGAGATGATTTAAAGTGTATAGGAGAATGTGCATAGGTTATATGCAAACACTAAGCCATTTTATATGAAGAACTTGAACATCTGAGGATTTTGGTATCCAGGGGAGTCCTGGAACCAATTCCCCAGGATACCAAGGGACAACTGTGGCATCAGAAGTATGTAATTAGAGAAAAGGCCCCAGGTGATTATGGAATTAGCCAGGGCTGAGAAGCACTGACATGGTAAGCAAGAGCCTGGATGTTGTTTTTCTCTTCCTGCCATCCTGGCTTCTGTGGAGGCCTGCTGGGAACAGGACTTCTAAAAGGAAATACGTCTGGAAGGCTGTGGTCCAAGGCCATTTTTGCTGGCTATAAGTGGAGTCTCTGGAACCAAAGGGAGCACACACCTCTTCTTAAAATTGAAGGTGTTTATGCCCAAGATGAAACAGAATTCTATTTGGGCAATAGTTATGCTTATGCATACAAAGCAAAGAACAACACACTGAGTCCTGGCACAAATCAAACAAAACCAGAGTGATCTGGGGAAAGGTAACTGGGACCCATGGGAACAGTGGCATGGTTCTTGCCAAATTCTGAGGTAATCTTCCTGCTAAGGCTATTGGACACATAATTCGAGTGATCCTGCATGCCTCAAGGGTTTAAACTAAGGAAAAGTCAATAAATAAATGTGGATTTGTGCTCTTGTTAAAAAAAAAAAAAAGCAAAAAACAAAACAGGAGAGAGCGAGCGAGCCTGGATGTTACACCCAAACCTGGAATAAATCTTTATAGCTGTTGCAACACCTAACAGCTTACATTTGAGGGGTGCTCATAAATCATAATCAAAAGTTGTCATTATTGAACACTGGGCATATGTATGTAATGTACCGGGTGCTTTATACACATTATTTCACTCAATTCTCACAATAATCAACGTCGTGGGTAAAGTTCAGAGATATTAAGGCTGTATGTATCAGAATCCAGGCTGTGACCCAGGCCTGGTTCCATAGCTCATGCCTACTTCACACCACATTCTCCCCACTCCATGAGTGTTGAATGCAGCATGAATCATCAAAACCAGCAGCCCTTCCTAAAAACCAGACCCCTTAGTCTCAAATGAACAGTCATTCACTGCCTCACTCACACCTAAAATTAACACCCACTTAAGCATGTAAAGGCAGATGAAAACTGCACAATTTCAGGAAAATGTCTGCATGGGAGCTTTTAGGTGGCCAAATACAGGTGACTTCCAAATTTAAAATTGTAAGCATTCATTGTCCCATAGCCATCTACAGCACCTCAGAACAGGACCAGCTAGGAAGGGTTGGCAACTAGAGTTTGAGGACCCAGCAGAAAGTACACTGGTGATTTAAGGGACAAGATTTGAACTGAGAAGGAAGGAAAAGACATTTGGAAGGATTCTAGTACGAAGCAAACTCCTAGACAGCAGTTTGATAAAGTACCATCTTTAATGCCCTTGAGTGGCATTTTACAGTTAACCATAGGTCCCACATGTTGGTTCACACGTGAATGTAGACATGTGTTATTAAGATCCCTAGAATAGGCATATGCAATAAGGTAGACAGATGCTGAATTCAGAGAGGTAAACTAAGGGAGACTGGGTAGATGAGGGCAAGGTCCAGAGTCCTGAAAGTTAAGGAAGCTGCTCCAACCAGGAGATGACGCTGGGCTTGGTTGGGTGTGATGGGCTCTGGGCTGACAGGCCATGGATGGAGATGGAGGGCTGTCAAAGGTCATTGAAGACCTGAAGGCAAATCAGGAGACCTCCCAGCTTTTGTAAATCATTAATATCTCTAAGTACTATAATCAGGCCACCTCTCAGACAATTCTGTGAATTAGAGTCAAAGAATCTTCCAGTTTCCAGATGGAGGCAGCTGGAGAAGATGTGAAACCGCAGCTTAACCTGTCTTTGCCATGTGGACATGCACAGACATATACACACGTGTGCACACGCACACACACTCACCAGATCCCTCCCCTCAGATGCATATCAGTCTGTCACCCAGCCCTTCTTTCAAGACACCCCCTTATCTTCTCATTTTAAGCGCCCTAAGGGACTCCAGTGTGAGTGAAGATTCAGGATGCCCTCAGCTGAGTCTGAGGCTGGAGTCAGGTGATGTTTGCCATGCCTGGTGGCTTCACCATGGTGTCCAGGAGCAAACGAATGAGAGTCCAAGGGTAAGGAACACGTCTTGAGGAAGGCAGCTGTCTATTCAGAGATGCAGGAAGGCAGTGAATCCTTCCAACAAAGGTCATTCCTCCCTTTTAGTTCATTCCTAGTGCTGCCATTGATCCAGAAACTGAGCCTAAACGCCTCATTTGTCCAGAAGTACATCTCCCCTTGATTGGGTAAATGGTGCCCAGTGACACAGTGAGACCTTCACTAGGAAGTGTTTTGCCTCTCATTGCTTTCCATGTTAAAAGGCTCTTAGTTCATCTTAATTAAAAGATAATGGGCACCGCATGTACTACCTGGGAACACATGACACAGCTTCCTTGTGTTTAAGAGAGAGGGCTTACACACTTGACAACAGGTTGGCAGAAATAGTGGGATGAAGAAGAGGAGGTTAAGGGTGATGCCCAGATTTCTGAGGTGAGGGTGTATGGTGACCAAGGTAGTATTTTCATAAATAGAAACTGAGTTTTCAGGAGGAACTTAACCACCTACTGACCCGCTTCCTCTGCATGGGATTCCTCCAGATCTTTCATCCTCCTGCCTTCCACTGCTTTCCTCTCATTCCTACTAGGCTCTTGGCAATCGGACCTTTCTCCCGCTCCTAGTCTTCCTGCCTTCTGATAGCTCCCAATGTTAATTCCCTAATAAACACCTTACACTTAGGTGTATGACCCAGTGAGTTCTTCAAAACACTTTTGTATGTATCCTCTTGTTCTCTGCAAAACAACCTTCTTCTTTAACCAAAGAGGAACCTTCAGAGGATTGCTTATAGTAAAATGTGAAGACTGCTGGTTTTTGGCTGCTTTACTTACGTGTTTCTTTCTGTTCATTTTCTCAGTCTATCTGACTTATAGTTGCATTATTTTAGGTTTCACATTACTCACTAGCAAAAGCTAGCATATACCATGCTCAAAGCAGCAAGCACTGAGAATGCTGGAAATCTGGGATCCTGTTAGTCAGAAGTAAAGTTTACTGTACTAGACCCATGCACTTAGAGCTGTCTGACAAATGAATTTTAGGAGGTGGTGAGACTCCCCCAACAGGGGAGGTGTTCAAACAGCAACAAGATGGCTTTTCCATATATTGTAGAGGAAATGACAGATAGAGGTTAGATTGAAACCCCCTATACTTCCTATGAATTTATCTGATTTTCTCATTATGTGAAAATATTGGCCAAAATTTTGCAGCAAAGAATATCTAGTAGTTGGGATTACATGCCTGTAATCCCAGCACTTTGAGAGGTCAAGGAGGGTGGATCACGAGGTCAGGAGTTCAAGACCAGCCTGGCCAAGATGGTGAAATCCTGTCTCTACAAAAAATACAAAAAGTAGTCAGGCACAGTGGCAGGTGCCTGTAATCTCAGCTACTCGGGAGGCTGAGGCAGGAGAATTGCTTGAACCTGGGGGATGCGGGGTGGGCAGAGGTTGCAATGAGCTGAGATCACGCCACTGCACTTCAGCCTGGGGGACATAGTGAGATTCTGTCTCAAAACAACCAACCAACCAACCAACAGCAAAAAAACAGAGGATTGTGTTTTAAGAGATGCCTTTTGTGTATCTAAATTTTGATAGGCCTTCCCCCTTAAAAGCAGCCTTGGGATAAAATTTTTTGGTCTTCATTCAGTTTTTCCTTCCTTTGACACTACATAGTGCCACGCAGGTCTTAAAGCAAATGTCTCTTTGTAACTTCTGAAGGCAAACATTTCCCATAGGGCCAGATCCCTCAGCCAGAAGCTAGTGAGTCAGCAAAGGCCAGCCAGGAGACTCAAGGGCCCCCTCTTGCCCCGAGAATGATTTGTTCTGCTTTTCCTTTCTTTTTAAATCTCCTGGCACTTTAAAAATCCAGTCCTCAGCATGCTCCTGGGCCCTTTCCCCAAGCCACGTTTAGTTTCAGAGAATGAAAACTAATTTCATGTTAGCAGCCTAAGGAAGCATTTCCCAAAGTGTGATTAGGGGAAGGCTTGCCTTAATAGGTGCTTCTGGTAAACAGGTCCTTCTGCTCAAATATTGCTGCCCATGTTCTTTCCGTTTGGAAAGTTGCAGTGTGTATTAATGTATTAAAAGTTTTGAGAAATCCTGCACAAAGAAATCTATTGCACTTTGTTAACCGAGAATTTACCAAATGTATTTGCTGATAGAAATATCTTTCTAGAACATTTATTTAGGAAGTGGAGGAGTGGGAGGGGAACAGGACAATGGCAAATCAGTTGGTACCTGAAATATCTGCAAGGTGCTGCCTGAACAAGACAAAAAGATCAGCAATCATTCACAACGGAGGGAAATGGTTTCGGTTTCTGGATTATGCATTGTTTGGACTAACTATGCCACGGTGTACATCTCAACCTCCAGGCACACTGACATAAATAACAGAGAGCTGACAATATTGTCTTTCAGCAACAGCAAGTCCTAGGTGCCTCCCTCTGGCATTAGTCTTGGATGAGTGTCATTGACTTACCTCCAAGTTGTTGGCTATTCAGGACAGGATAACCTTCATCCTCACAACTGTGCCCAGTTCGTGCCTGCAGCTTCCTCTAGGAGCAAGGATATTTCATCTTCCAACTCCAGGGCATTTGTCCTGCAGCACCTGGAATAGAACGATAACTCCTGCCATGGGATGCTCCTGGCAATTCACTTGGCAGGAGTGAGGGGCTCAGAGGCTCTCTCCACAAATCTCTAAATCAACTGGCCCCTGCAGATGCAGGAGAATCAGCAGCTGTTTCAGAGGCAAAGGCCATTCATCTTCTGCCTTTTTTTTCTCGTTTCTGGGGAACCTGGACGAGTGAAGGTGTCTGCCACCAAGCATTGCCTACCTGGGTACTCACTAAGGTTCATGCAGGACTATGGAACATGCTGGGCGCTTTCAGAAAGCTTCCACAGGGAGGGTTTTTATGAAAAGGCCTTAGAAGCACAAAGGTTCTGTTTTAAAAGAGTTCATGCAACCCAAAGTTCCTGCTCTACAGTTTCTACTGTCACGAGTCAATACAAATCAGGAATTTATTGTGTCCAGTCCTGTTCTAAGAACTGAGGGAGATTCAGAAAAATAGTATAAGACGGCGAATCCTAGCTTCTGTTTAAGTAGTGGTGGTAATACCTCGGGGAGGTTTCAGGAAAGGGCTTTAGTTATCCCCCGCCAATCTCTACTCTCCTCTTGAACTACTAAGTAAGCCTGAGATTTATATATATATATATATATATATATATATATATATATTTTTAAGGAAGACTTGTCTGGTTAACATGGTTCACTAAGTCCACATGGGTGTTTAAAAGAAAATCATACACTTAACATCTCCAGAGCTAAACTCTTTTCCAGCCTGCATGTACCCAGTCTTTATCTCAGTTGACACCTTTGTTAGATCTTTGCTGAAGGCTCTCTCTCCCTACCTCATATAAAGCCCTCACTATCTCCCTTTGCTGATTTATTTTTCTAGCATTTATCACTATCTGTCATAGTTTATAGTTATGTTT